AAAAACCAGAAACAGCTTGATCATCAATTTGTCATTTTATCGGTCAGCACTTTACATGTTTATTTGTGAGTCGTTACTCAAACTCATAGTTTCTATGATCAATACGATGTAAAATTGACTGTGTAAGTGGCGCATTCTATCTTCCCTTCTCTTTCTCTGCATTAAAGTCTTGGTGTCGTTTGTGTGCAGTCATAGGAAACGAATGCGAATGCTCCATTGGGTAACAGGTGAGATATGTGTGCATCCTGAATGCGGGGTTGCGTGGAGGGTGGGTGGAAGTGTCATCCCATTTAGACATTGCATCTGTTAGGGTGATTATGCAAGCTATTCTTCCAGAACACCTGCGTCAAGCATCAACTTTGTTTCACAATCGCGTGTTGCAGATCTCACGGCGCATATTGCATGCGCCAATACACTTTCTACATTCACATTGGTTCCGAGTATACTGCATCTACTATTGAGAATACGTAGTCTATATGCATGCAATAACCCGTCTATAGTATCCAATGCCTCGAGATATTTGCAGGACATACTCATACATACATGAAGACAGTACTTCTTCTCGAAGAGGGTCAGTACTCTTTTTCTTTGAACATGTCGTTGGAAAGGGTGTCCACACGACGATAGGAGGATAGGCATCGTCAGCTAGTGTTGATAATGTATGAACCATTACCATTACAATTGTCATTGTCGGTATATTCAAGCTCTTCGGTTTGGAGACATCTAGCAATCTTTTCAGCGACTTTAGAGTTTCAGTAATGGTTATGTTATACTTGAAGCGATGTGATATTCGTGCAATAAGTGAGCCTTGAATGCAGAAGCCGCTTTGAATGAAGTTACCATACCAAAAGTAGGAAATATGAGATCAGGTGAAATCTACTGCCGAATATCTTTCTCTTCTCTATGATATCAAGACTGAGTAACAGCATACGGGGATAACGTGCCTATGACGATCACTATAATCTGCTTGATTTCTTGGCATTTCTTCTTTCTCACATTAAAGATATCATGGCTTTTTCTCGAGATATCTGAACACACGGAAGTAGATTCGTTCATTCCATCTTACCTATAACAATCTGCTGCGGATATGAAGTGGCCTGTATTCTTTCTATATTATTATATATAACTCCCAGGAATCTAGAAGAGAATTTCAGAGGACTCTATATATGTTGTCCCACATACAACATAGAACATAAATCTAGGTGACTCAACACGGACGAAAGTTGCGTAACTCGTTTTCCTCTTGGTTTAACTTTTATGCACGTATATCTATATAGAGTCTCTTGCATCTTTGGAATCGGAAGTGGAACCGGAAGTGGCACCGGAACAAACGCACTCCTCTGGTGTGTGAGATTGTATAGGATATGGAATATAATGGATGAATACAATGAATGAATGTAAAGTCTTGCGTTGGAATTTTGCGCTGTTTTGGGGAGCAGCAGATGAGAGTGAGTTGCAGATGTCGCAAATTTGGATTTGCTCAATTGAATTCTATTCCTGTGTGGGCATAGGTTTTAGGATGGACTGCATAGCGAAATATATACTCGAGTAGAACAACCCACCTACTCCTCCGCAGTATATATATTTTTAATAGGCGGTTTTTAGCAGACATTAAAGAAAAGTCACAAATACAATGTAATCACCCAAATGCAACTGAAATCGATTAACCCAATAAATCACAACACAACAGGATAACTAATTATTCAGAATTGTAACAAAACTTCTTCACTTCTCTATTCTTTTAGAGAAGGGGGGGGGGGGGTTGAAGGGTTATAATATCACTCTATAAAGGTGCGCGTATGGATATAATTACCTTACCCTTCACTTCTTTCTGCTTTTCTTCTTTCTTCACTTTGCGAATTATTTGGATTTTTCTCATGAGCATGTTATTCATATTATTCATGTATCCATCGAATGGATGGATACGGTATCTTTCATTTTCTATTGTACTCAAGTAGATGATATAGATTAAAACGAAGGTTGAAGTAGGTTTCCCTCTTGTACTGTATTGTGTTGTATTGTGTTGTATTGTGTTGTATTGTGTTGTGGTTTCGGATCTTTTGGTGTAATGTGTTATTACTCGAGTAGTGGTATTTGTTGTACTTCTTTTTATGGAACAGATACAGGTAGTTGTTGTGATTTTTGTATGTAGTATCTAGTATCTAGTATCTAGGATTTGGCGTTCCGGAATTGTATGTCACGGTGTCACGGTGTGAGGATGCGGAGGTGGGGAGTGGGAAGTGGAAAGTGGAATTAAGGATTGGGGATTGGGGATTTAGTTGTACTGGCACTACGAGTATTGCGAGTGTGATGATTGAGAGGAATGTGTGTGTAAAGTGGATAGGTGCTTAGATACATTATGTGTAGTGGCAGATCATTGAAAGATATATTATACTATATTAAAAAATGAATGGACTACAGTCCCCGATTTCAAAACTAAACGGCATGCAAGCAAGATATGATTTCATATATCATATATCCTATAGTACATAATTAACGAACGAGTTACGAGTATCTGCATTCCTAGAACATCTAGAAGATTCAATCATATGAATACTCGTTTTAGAATATCCTATCCTGACCTAATCAAACTCTCACACTATTCTTATTCTTAACTATTATTCTAACCACTTTAGTACTCAAGCCACTCCCTCTAATCCCCCTCTCTAAACCCTTAAAAACCTCTGCATAGCCCTCACAAGTCACTACTCGAGTATATACATATATTCATTCTACTCGTCCTAATACACAGCATCTATAATCTATAAAAACCATTTACTTGCCAGTGCTACAGTACAGTACACGGGACAAATAACATTACGTACTCGAGTATATGTATACGCAGTACGTTTTATTTTTTTTGCCATATGCATGTACACCTACATGTAAGACGTCGTCGTAGTATTTACTTCCTTCCTTCTTTCTCATTCATTACTCTGAATGTAATGAATGTTATAAATGCAATAAATCAGTATCAGGGCTCGATATCCAGCACTACTCGAGTATAAAAATCATCTACTAATAAGTCATCTCCCTGCATATAGATTTAAAATTTACAAACTAAACAAACTAAACCAGTCACTAAGAGTAACATACCTCACTTCCCATCTCGCATCGTCCCATCGGCATGGAAATCCCCTCCTTCCTGCTTTCCTGCTTCATCTTTCATGAATGATTCCACCTCCATCCACCACGCTTCCTTTCTTTTCCTTTCTTTTCTTTTGTTTTCTTTTCTCCCCCAAAAATGATGGAAGGAAGGAAGGTAGATAGATAGATAGATAGATAGATAGGAATGTGTATATATATATAAGTATATATGAGAACTTTTTGTATATGAGTATTTTTAAACTCACAACTCCACAAATCCAATCCCGACAACGAGAATTCCTCGGGGAATGAATTTTTCTCTTCCAAAAGGGGGTTTTAAGGGTGCTTATGCTTGCTGTATAAGGTTAATTGATTGATGATAGATTATCGACTTTGAATTTGAATTTGAAACTGTTTTCTGATTTCTAGGAACTAGGAATTAGGAATTAGGAACTAGATTGTTTTTATGGCGTGGCTCAGCTTGGCTCAGCTTGGCTCAGCTTAGCTTAGCTTTGCTTGAAGAAGCGATTGAGGTCTGTCTTTGTAGGGGGTTTTGATGGAAGGGGGGAGGGGGGAGGGGGGAAGGGAAATTGTGGTTTTTGTGGAAGAAATGTATGGAAATGGATGGAGATGGAGATAATGAAGAAATATGTGGTAGATTTCTCAGAGGTATATGTATATTATATACTCGAGTAATGAATGAAATATAAATCCGGTAGTCATATCCACAGTCATCGCCATCAAAAACAACAGAAACAACACCATAGAACTTCACATACTCACCTCACCTCATACCCACCTCATACCCACCTCACAATACTCGTACCTCACAATACCATTCCGTACCCGAGCCCTCGACATCTCTCCAACATAACCTCAACATCTAAATCTCCAACCCCCAAAAGAAAAACTCTAAATACAATCTTTGTATTTAACCATTAAACCAAATCTCTAATCTCAAACCTCTAATCTCTAACCTCCAACCTTCAAATAAGCCGCAGCCCACAAGTTCAATATCTTAATATCAGAGTATCAGAGTTTCCCAACCCAGCCCAGTCCAGCCCTCACAAATAACTACAAATAACCAACCACAACTTATACATAGACAACAAATTTAGTTGTCCAACCAATTCACTTAGATATACTCGAGTAATCGAGCACTCTATGAATATCTGATTATATTGATATATGAATACATGAATATATGAATAACAAAGATGACTTATCTTATCATATTACATCTATTCTCGAGATTCTTGCTAATCGTCATTGTACTTGTACTGCCTGCATATAGTATATACCGTGACCTACCCACTCACGCACGCACGCACGCACGCACGCACGCACGCACGCACCTAAGCTCAAGCCAGGTTCGAACCATGTTCGAACCATTTACTGTATGTAGCTCGATGAGGTGATATTGATTCTTGGTGTTTTCTACTCGAGTAATTGTATCAAGGGACTGCGTATCGTGCAAGTACAAGTAAATAAGTGTTTGGACGGCGCAGCCCTATATGTACATACATATGCGTTATGCGTTATGCGTTATAAGTTAATAATAGCTTGTACAATAAAACAAGACATCTCTTCTCAATCACGACAACACATCACAATCCAAATACGGATACGAGACGAGGATATTCCACAGAGAAAAAAAACATCATATTAATCAAAGACGAGGATCCAAACTGGTATGTGGGCATTACAGTCCCGTCCAGTCCAGACATCCAACATCCTATCGACCCCAATCTAATCCTATCAACCGATTCCCATCCCATCCCAAATCATCATATCCAAGCCCTCGTGGTATCAAAACGACCCCCAACAAAATCCTATTATAAAAGAAAAGCAACCATCAATAACCCCCCGCAAGTCTACGCAAGTCTACGCATGTCTAAGCCAAACACGCCAAATCAAGCCGTAATCCCCGTATCTCTCCCACCTCTTTCCTCAAACGCTTCTCGGGCCCTAACATTCGCCACTGCACTTTGGAACGCACTCGTGAGATCGATGTGGAATAGTGGTCGATTGAGACCATTAACCACAGCGGTTTTCGACCTCGTGGCATTCTTTGACGTAACTTTCAAATCGCTACCGCTTAGTCCACTCCCACTTTCACTATCGCCTCGAATCTGATCTCCGTATCCTCTTGAATCTCTTTCGCGCGTTCTGTGTTCCTTGAGTTCTTTCTCGTTGGATTCGGCTTCTGCTGCTGCCGCCGCACTATCTTGTCCTCCCATGTCTGCTACTGAGAAAATGGGCTTCCAGCGGTGTGAACCTTCTTCCTCCAGAGTTGGGTATCCGAATCCTGCGGAAACGAGAGCGCGTTTGGTCCAGCGGTTGTTGATGGAGGTGAAATGCCAATCGACGACTGCAGGAGATGCATAAGTATCGAGTTGATTGCGAACATCGATGAGTTGTTGGATGGAGGTGATGTCAATATTATTGACGGAGCTAAAGTCAAGAATGATGGCTTTGAGAGTGGGACGGTCGCTGTGATCCTCGGGGGCTTTGCCGCGACGTGGTCCGGGGTCGTTCCATGGGCGATCACCAGGGCGGGCATAGTGATTAGGATTAGTTCTGCGGGTGGTAGCGAAAACTGTGTTGGTAAGGTGGTCGAGATAGTGGTTTGCGTTTGGATAATTAAAGCCTTCGGAGAATCGATAGATGAAGATACCAGGATGAGGAGTTTGGACATCAACCTCGGGATTAGTTCCATCACCGTGATCGAAAGGAAGGAAGACGGTTCGGGATCCAGAATCTTCGAATTGAGTGGCATCGGATTTGGAGAAAGTGCCATGATCACTCAAAGGTGCTGATCTATATTCGGCGATCTCACCACCGACCGAAGTAACCTTGACCTTACCAAGAAAACGGCCTCTAGCCTTGATAATTCGGAAGATGAGAACACCGAAAGAAACGCAGATAGTTACGTAGATGCCATCTTCGATACTGGTGAAAATGGTAACAATAACACCTGCGAAGAAGATGGGAACCTCGAGAGGGGATACACGCCAGAATTGATAGACTGTGTTTGGAGGTGTGATGAGATCACCCACAGCGTGAATGATGACTGCCGACAAAGCCGCACTTGGAATGTAGAAAAAGACTGCTGTGAGAGCATAGATGGCGAGAAGGACGACGAGAGCAGTTATGACACCAGCGAAAGGGGTTCGAACACCAGCCTTTGATTTGATAGCTGTACGGGAGAAAGAACCAGTGACTGGATAACCACCAAGAAAAGCGCCAAGGATATTGGTGACACCAATAGCTACCATCTCCTGCGATGGGTTAATGATATAGTTATTGACACGTCCGAAGGATTTTGCTATGGCGATGTGTTCGATGAGTAGAACAATGACGGTTGCCGGTAAATCGCCCACAAAAATGTTGATGATCGAAGTGTTGACTTCTGGCACAGCAGCGTTTTGAAATCCTCGTGGAACTGCACCAAGGATCTTGAACAATGGCTTCTTGCGATGATGCATATTCACAAGCCAACTGATCAACGTGTATAACAAGATAACGAAGACGGTTCGAAGGGTAGCCCCGAAGAAGAATGCTTTCTTGTGGTTTGGAAACTTCTTGGCTCCATAATTACTGGCCTAAAAAGGATAATTAGTAGTGACACATGCGAGAAAAAAATATTGACAACTTACAAATCGAAGAGCATATAACATGAAAAGAGCTGTCAGGCCGATGGCGGCATCGAGGGATGTATTTGGAAGACCCTTCAATGTATTGATCACAACTTTATAGGTTGATGCTCGAGAGCTGAAGCCTGTGATACCCATCAAGGTTGGAACTTGTCCAACAGCAATATTGATGGCGGAACCAGTCATGAATGCAGAAATTGAGGTGAGAGAAATCAAATCGACAATCCAACCGCATCGAACAAGTCCAATGAGAGCAATGATGGAACCCGCAATCACAGCCAAAGCAGATGCAATAACATGACCTTCAACATCTGGGTGAGTGACAGCGGCTTTGACCAAAATTTGACCCACGAGCGTTGACATGACGGCGACAGGTCCGATGGTGATATCTTTTGATGTAGCGAAGAACCAATAGACGAGAACTCCCATGAAGGAAGAGTAAAGACCGAATTGAGGGTCAAGCTCAGCGAGAGTAGCGTAAGCCATACCTTGAGGCACAACGACAGCACCAATAGTGATACCTGATTGATATTAATGATCATGTTCGTCACGAAGGATTTGGTGTTACTCACCAGCTACCAAATCTCCAAATAGCCATTGCAAGTTGTAGCAACCTATCCAGCTTAAGAACGGGAATAGTGACCGACAGTACGCGGCGAGCTCATGTCGACCTGGGAGGGTATCCTGAATCCATTCTAGACTTCGAGGTTCTTCTTCTACGAATGTATCGACCGATTGAATGGAGAAGACTGACTCTCCTCGAAGAATTTCCTGACTGTTAAGTTCATCGCGATAGTTGAGTTTGATACCGAGGGCTTTAGCTAGTCCATGACCAACTTTAGTTGCAGCCATCGCTGCAAAGAGTTGCTTGGCTGTGAAACCTGAGATATCGGAAAATTAAGCGGAGAAGAAGAGACTATTCCACAAAGGGTGGGTGTCAGTAGATCGGTCTGACAGGTTTGGCAGGGCGATCTGCAAGATAACTCTCAGATGGCTATCCAAGAGTATGTACTTTGTGAGCGGATGCAGGCTGATATAGCCGTGTCTGCTCGTGGTCCAGAGAGTCGGGTCAAGACCAGATGATCCTTGTGAAAAATGTTTACAAAAAAGTAATATTGTCTGACATCGGAACTATGCACATGCAGGTCGAGAGCTGGAAATTGGAATAGATAATGCAACGTCTAATTGTAGAAGGGAAACTTTTGTTCTGGAAAGACTCGAAAGGGGAAGACGTGATCCAGAAGTGGCATTCAGTAATTGTCTCCTTTGAAATTGGGGATACGGCACTATATATTGCGTGCTCGAGAATAAATAAGATGAAAGATAAATAGAGATATAGCAGGAACAGCAAAGGGTAATAGGTGAATCTTTGTGTAACCTTAGGCTAACCCGGAAGTTGGAATCTTTTTGAAATTTGAAATATTTTGCAGGTAGACGTAAAGCCAAGCGATATAACTTATGGGTTTGCAGATCTTCGAATTTGGATTTTATGGTATTTCACTACTGTCAACCTAGAGAGAATCGCGGGAGCTGAGGCTTAAAGTGGAAGAAGATATTCGTGATAATGGGTTTGAGCTGGAGAGGGGTGACGTGATTAGTTGATATGGGTGGGACAAAAACGATTTGATGGAGCCTGAGGGTTTCTAAAGATGATGAAAGGTATCGGTACCAAGTAGTAGTGATAATGCAATACAAGTAGTAACAGTTAAAAATGGTTTGGTATGGTTTTTAGTTGGAAACCTGGAATAATATGGGGAAGGCATTTACCAAGGGAATTGGATGGCAATAAAACTCTTCTTTTCATGGTAAATTTTATAGCAAACTGGGCCCATTAGTGTTGCAAATACCACATTTAAGTGGATGTATAATCATCATTATTATGGTTTATACTTTTATACCCCGATCTTAGTATGGTTTAACCTAGAAGTTCAACCTAGATCTTCCATGAGAGAAGTGGAATCCGTAATGGATATTTCTTTGTGGATCCGGAGCGTAGTAGATGAGGTTGGTTGTGATGGAATTATCTGAATCTTGTCGACGTAGGTACCGAGCACGCAATTCGCTAAATTGATTAGTTTTTCTAAGCTTCCAATTAGCGTGAAGCGAAAATGAAGGAGATCTCCATGTTGCCGAGGACGACAAAGGAAAACAGCTTTCTATCTTTTCTCGAAGCTCTGGGCTTGAATCAATCTGAAGACTATTGTGTAAACTATTTAATCAAGGCGTCAAGGAATAAAGAGAAGGGAAGAAAAAGAAGAAATAAACCATTGATATGGCGTTCTCTAATCTTCACACTTCTCTTTCAAGCGGTACACTCGCTCGCCTATTCCAACAAGGGGGGTAAGCTTAACCTAGTTAATGCATACACGCGGGCTACCCACTAGAATATCCACCCAATGACCGTTTTCCTTCATGATGCAATTGAAGGGATGAAGATCGTAATCCGATAAGATACGATAAGAATGAAAAAGAGGCGACGAGTTTTTGAGACTTTAAATGATTTCGAGTTTGAAGGATTAAGCTAAGATTCTGGGATGGCACGTAACTGGTATTTTGAGAAGTCGAGACTTTATCTTTTCGAACCGTGAAAAAGGAGATGAAGAAGCCTCCCCGTCAGCAATATGTCTTGGAAGTTGGAGGTTTGGTATATCAAGAGTCAGCGACTTGGTCTACGGGTGAGGGCTTGGCTGACCGAAAGCCATCTAATTGTTGCCATATGGTATGGATATCGAGAATGAACCCGTCTTCGAAGTCTGATCAAGTTTGCTTGTTTGCCCCGAGGTTCTGAGACTCAATTTGGATTATAAGAATATCTTGTTATCACATGATTGGCATACACGTGATGCTATTTTCATGCGGCCTTCGAGGTCAACCTTTTGAGTGGGTTCCAGCTTGGTATCTTGGAATACACAAGAGGCATCCATCATATCCTTGAATATGGTGATGTTGTTTGCTAAATGAAGTGAAAAGTATTCGTTCCTTCAGTTTCTTCACATTTTTTGGTGGTTGTGGTAGGTCATTGTACTGGGTTACATCGTTGTCAATGGTAACAAGATCTATATGTTTTGTTTTAATGGGAGGTTATCACGAAAATTCACGGTTACCAGCCGCAGCTTCAATTTCACTTCAACCACAACTTCGCTCAGACTTCTCAAAAGCTGACATGGCAACAACTTCAATTTGATAACAGTGCGATAGTGTGATCAATAATTTATGGTTGTATTCATAATATCTCAAGCAAGAACTGATCCTAGAATTCATCCTCAACAATATCTCATCACCATCATCGAAAAAAAATGCGATAACAAAATGTCAACTTCATCACCCACCAAAGAGACATTTCCAATTACATTTCCATTTCCTCTTTCACTCGCCCCTTCAATGCAATCTTCACTCAATGTACCGCCATCTCCACGATCTCAACGATCCTTACGAAGGTTACAGTCCGCACATACACTGGGCTCATCATTTAACCAACCATCTTTGATTTCGCAACAACACAAGCAAGCTTTGCAGAAGATCATTCCGCCTTTGCAAAAAGATGCGACACAATCCTCCACCACTACACATTCGAGAGCAAGATCAAATAGTGATGTCACAAATATGGTCCCAAATTCAGCATCTGCGGGTAGGCGTCCTATTGCCAATCGAAGACTCATCGCATCAGAAAGTATGTCGCTGGATCGTCTAATTAGAGATGGTCCGCCAGATGGAGATATAGTTGGGAGTTTGGAGAGTATGAGGTTGAAGATACTGGATCAAGGCATTAAGAGTGATAGTGATGGAATGGTTTGTTTATTCCCCTGAATCATTGTTCAAAATAAATACTGACATCTTAGATAGTCCTCTCTGCGCATATACGTCTGGCTTATATTACTCAATGCCCCTACCCTCGAAACCGACGCATATCTATTTCTAATCCACCGCGGCGCATCTCCTGCATATTCCAAAATACGAAATGATACGTTTCGAACCCTAGCCACCGATCCTCTCTTTCGACGTCGAGTCAGCGAAGCCAGTTTAATTCGACTTTTAAACGCTGTAGCATGGAAACTACACGATGCGAAAAAAGCGCGAGCAGATTTTCGGAATATACAACAGAGACAAATCATGGAAGCAGCTATCCAAGGTTCTCCTGAACGTGGATCACAATCACCTGGCATGAGATCCAGAGCTCGTGCTCTGACTTTGACAACAGAAGGTTCTGATGTAGGGGCTGGAGAACCGGGAACTTATGTTCAAGGCATGAACGTACTCGCGGCACCATTTCTCTACGCTGCTCGAAGCGAATCAGAAGCATTTGTCGCTTTCCATCGCTTTATCACAACCGAGGTGCCGGGTTATGTGAGAGGTGCTATGGATGGTGTTCACAAGGGACTCGCATTGGTAGATAAAGTCCTAGCCATCGTTGATCCAAAATTGAGTCTCTATCTCATAGGCAAGGGTATGAGTGCAGAGATCTATGCTTTCCCATCAGTACTCACTCTCTGCGCATGTACCCCCCCATTACCAGAGGTACTCCGCCTTTGGGATTTCTTATTTGCGTACGGTGCGCATCTCAACATCCTTTGTATTGTCGCACAACTCGTAATACTGAGAAATTCAATTTTGAGTTCTCCAAGGTTAGTTCTTCTTCACATTGGTCATCCTCATTCCACTATTCATAAACATGATATACTAACAAACCCAAAAAGTCCAACGAAAATTCTCCGATCGTTCCCCCCGTTACAAGCGGATACCATCAAAGAAGTAACTCTCACAATCATCAAGAAAATTCCAGATGATGTTTATGCGGAAATCGTCTCGCATGCTAAATGATCCGTTTTGGGGCCATGCTTGGCTGGCTGGCTGGCTGGCGTTGTATGGGGGTTTGGATGTTAAAAAGAAAAGTGTGGCTTTGGTGTTGGTATTGGGATGGTCGAATGCTGTGCTTGCTTTACTATATGTATGAATGATATTATGCATTTATGTTTTGAAGAAAATGACTATGGGTTGGATTGAGTCGGATTGGATTAGGTTGGGAATGGACAGGTTAGGTTAGAGGTTAGGGGGTTAGGGAAGCTCTGGATGAATGAATGAATGTATATGAATATGAATATGTACTATGAATAATGATACTCGTACTGTACATACCATACCATAGATACTAAGTCCTCGTAATTTTCAAGTATCAGCTTGAATATATATAGGTATGTATTATAATTATGAACTATTCACATAACCACACAAGTACGAGTATAAAGTAGTTGTTAGTTAGTAGTTGGTTGTGACTGTAGTTAATGTTTTTGAATAATCCATCCACTATTGCTCTATAATATATTTAATTTAATAAACAAACAAGTCTCGCCATCTCCATCTCCATCTTAATCCATCCATCTACATATCTCTTTCCTTTCCTCCCCTTTCCTTTCCTGGATTCGCTAACCATGCGTATTTACAGTCGCATGTAGGTATGTATGTATGAATGTATGCAATCAATATCCTCCCTCCCATAAACCAAAAAAAAACTCCATCCACTCCTGGTAACGGACTGCTTGATCGATCATGTAACATTCTCTGATGCCATCATTTCAATTGCAGCCCTGATTAAACCCCCCAAAAAAGAAATCCACCATGTGATGCTGCCATAATCTCCATTTGATGCAATGTGCTTGCCACCCAGTTTTCTCCCAATTCAATTTCTCAATCCATAAAAACGCCCATGCTGATGACATCCTCCCACGACCCCAATCTATGGCTTTTGATAAGCTTCTGCTGGTAGATTTGCTTTATTGGCTTGGAAAGCAATGTAAGCCTTTTCTAAATCCCATCCCGTTTCGGTCAAGCACATCTCTGAGTATTTTAAATTCATGCCAGTCTCAACAGCAAGTTTTTCGGCAAGTACTGCTTGTTGCTCTGTAATGAGTGGAACATTGGGTGTAGGAACCACTGGTACTGTTTGAATCGCCGAGGTTACATGGACTGAAGTTTGAGCCAAAGGACTCCAAGCTCTGAGTGCAAGGAGGTCGCTGATGACTCTGATGGGGGGTCCATTGGGTCCTCCAGGTCCGAGAATGAAGGTTCGAGAAAAACTACGAACAGCTTTGCCTTCAAAATTGGCAATTTCCTCCTCGAATTCGCCGTGTATGGTAATGAGAAGACCGTCAACTCCAGCGGCACTCTGCCCAGAAGGATCAGGAAGACCTGAAAGAGTTTGACATTCGACAAGGTATTGTTCAGGTCGTGAAGCGATCTCGGGGTGTCTTGTTTTAGGTAAATCGCTCCAAACTGATTGAATTGTCTCAATGCCAGTATATTGTCGAGATAGTCTCGTAGATGTGTGCGTATATTTGACAAGATTTCGATTAAATTTGACGTATGCTGCCCATGGAGGAACAGGCATCGAGTGATTGCGGTCTCGAACTGCCAACATATTGATCGACAGTGAAAATTTAGACTGAGCGTCGTAGAAATTGGTGAGCAAGGCGTTGCGATCATTGTCGTAAGCTCCGAAGAATTGTCTGACAAAGTTCTCTCCGACTTGTCCAACGTCTCGGAAAGCTGGGCTAGCAATTGGAAATGGTGATTTGATAGCCTCGAGTTCTGCAACAATCTGCGCGACGGTTCTGACTTGGACACCATTCAATTGTTGAAGTTCCGGATACCAGCGTGTAATTTCAGTAGTGTATTCTGGAGTGAGGATCTCCATGGGGTTCCCCGTTAAGATGAGGTTTTCGAGGTGACGAAACTTCCAGCGCCATAATTTGAGCGAATCCAATTCGGCAAATTGATTTCTGGAAAGGTCGAGATTCTTTAAATCGGGAAATGTTGAGGCCAATGAGGTGACAAAGGAAACATCGGCTAATTGGTTGTCGGTCAAAGTAATACTGACTATGGCATCCTTCTTAGCTTGTCTAGTGGTGAACAATTTGTCGCAAATGATCATCAAGACCGGGAAAAGTTTCGAGACGATAGTGGTATCTTCAAACATTCCCATTTGCTTCAACTGCTCGTCTTGTCCCAAAGAAGAGAGATTCAAAAGCTTGAGATCAGGATCGTATCGAGCTGCGAGAACCGCCGTAATCTTCTCTCGAGTTGACCGAGCCTCCTCAGACTCCTCCTTCTGCTCTGATTTCGCCGATGGTTCACTGTCTTGGACGCCAATTGTGGATCCAGCAAATGCAAATCCATCCAACTTCATGATAGAAGCTGCGTCCTCCGGGATAACTGAGATAACAACGATGTCACCTTTCTTGTGTGACTATTCGAGGGTTAGCAAGGTGTAGATGACCTTGAATTCGATCGTGGATCACGAAGTGATAAAGCGAAAAGAGTCGATCCCCGACTCGTTGTAGGAAACTTGATTTGGCAAGAGCGGGATATAACGGCGACAGCGCGATAGACCTCATGATCCAGGAATCATGGCGATAAACATACCTTCTTAACTCTTATAGACCTCTTCGATTTGGAATCTAATGTCGCAGCTTTGCGCTCGAGAAATGATACCAGTGCCGAAAGACCTTGATCATCATTTGAAGCTGCTTTGCTTCCCTTCAAACCTTTGACCCAGAGAGTGACCAATACGTTAGCTTGTTGCGATTGCGATCCCATACCTCGGAGGATGGCTTGTGGATTCCGTGCGAGGTCGAGTCTTCCCCCGCGACCAGTATTTCTTGAGGGTCGTCCATGTCCGCGTGGTCCAGTTGGAGCAGAAACTCCGATAGCATTCTTTCCACCCCTACGACCATTTGCGCCCGTTGTGGTATCCATATCCAAATCTCCATCTTTATCCACTCGAATAGGACCTGTTCGTCGTTTTGTGATTCCACCACCACCCACGCGACCACCACCTTTTGCGCTGGAAGACGAATTTCGCGGACCTCTGGGAGGCGCGGACGTTCGGTTCATCATTTTGTCGTCGTACTTGTCAGAGGTATGGTATTTATTCTGTTGTATCGGAAGTCGCAAAGTGTGCGATAAATATAAGAAAATTGTGGTTGGTTGATAGGAAGTATCTTGAAGATACAAGCTCTTATTTTCTTCCCTTGTTCGAAAGAGTGGTAAATGTTTTCTTGAAAGAGTTTTCTTGGAAGAAACAGGAAGGCGGTAGAGAATATGTTTTTAATACGAACGATTGACTCCGAGTAGAGTGGGAAGAAAAATTGATTTGATGGTTTGATCAAGGTGAAAGAAGGTTTGTCGAGATAAAGAGGCAGAAGCAGAAAGCAGAAGTTGTTGGAAGTTGTGGAAGTGACTACGTAAGCGAGGCTGAAATAATGGTGAATGATAAATGCCCTGATTTAAGGTTCTGCCTAAATTAGTATCGTGTGAATGATTCGTAATGTTTCATTTTATAACCCCTCTCTGAATCATCTAGCCTTATTTAAATCTAACAAGGCTGACTGGCTATATGTGCCGAGGCTATATATCTATCATCTGTAGCCACTAAATTAAAGCCTCAGGCATCAACAATGCAGATGGAAAAACGGCATCTATTTAGGACTTAAGTAAGTGCATTTATCAAATATCTATGGATTCAATTCGATTTGACCTTTTAAAGCTTTGAGTGAGCCATTGTGAGGGTGTGAGTATATGAAGATTTATGTTACGCATAGATAGTTTTATAAAAAAAAATTCCCTGCATGAACATGGATTACCTACCTACCTACCTAGGTAAGTAGAACGCACACGCACACACCTTGAGGCGGGTCTAAAACAAAGCGAGAGCGATCCATTGAAAGCTGTCCTCAATTGAAAATGCGACTGAGAGTCAAGTCAAGTCAGTCTTTTTAACATCTACTCCTACTCAATAAAAATCAATTTGATGCTTTGGCCCAAGGCCTTTTAAAAAGCTCTTATATGATCCTTCATTCATTTTTATATTTTTACATTCTCATTTCACAGTTTACTACCAATTGAAAAGTTACTCCAATTATCTCGTTGATTTAATCAATCATATGCATTTCTAAAAGCTACCTCCAAATTCAATTCTACGCCGCGAGGCTACTTCCAATTAACACAATAATCATCCACAACTTTTTTTTTACAACATTGAGCAAAAATGCCTGCGAAATCTAGGTTTACAAGGCTAGATGCCTTTACAAAAACAGTCGATGAAGCAAGAGTGCGCACCACTTCGGGGGGGATCGTTACGATAGCTTCATTGCTTATCGTCTTATATTTGGCCTTTGGAGAATGGGCGGATTACAGGAGGATAACAGTACATCCTGAGCTTGTGGTTGATAAGGGAAGAGGTGTGTAATTCAAGATTTTCCGGGTTTCATGGATGAAATACTAATAATTGTGTTTTGTGCAGGTGAAAAGATGGAAATTCATTTAAACATTACTTTCCCAAGGATTCCTTGCGAACTTCTGACGCTGGACGTGATGGATGTTTCCGGAGAACAGCAAGTAGGTGTTATGCATGGAGTTAAGAAGGTTCGTTTGACTGCGGCTGAAGAAGGAGGTAGAGTCATTGATACCACTGCCTTGGACCTGTATGTTCACTGCCTCTTAATTCTTTGAATGGTGACTGATCTCATGTAGTCATAATGCCGACGAAGCAGCGACTCATCTCGATCCTGAATATTGCGGTGGTTGCTATGGTGCTACCCCTCCTCCAAATGCGCAAAAGCAAGGCTGTTGTAATACCTGTGACGAAGTACGAGAGGCATATGCGTCGGTTTCATGGGCTTTCGGTCGAGGAGAGAATGTAGAACAGTGTGAGCGTGAGCATTATGGCGAACGTTTGGATGAACAACGTAAAGAAGGATGTCGCATTGAAGGAGGTCTTCGAGTAAACAAGGTCATTGGAAATTTCCATATTGCTCCTGGTCGCAGTTTCACCAATGGAAATATGCACGTTCACGACCTCAACAATTACTTCGATACCCCAGTTCCTGGCGGCCACGTATTTTCACACATAATTCATTCCCTTCGATTTGGACCAGAGCTTCCAGAAGAGGTTATCAAGAAGCTGGGCTCAGATTCTATCATTCCATGGACCAATCACCACTTAAACCCTCTCGACAACACAGAACAAATCACACGCGAGGCTGCTTACAATTTCATGTATTTTGTCAAGGTCGTCTCGACATCTTACCTACCTCTTGGCTGGGAACACACCTACAACAGCGCACCGCATGATGCAAGTGTGGACATTGGAACTTATGGACACTCTGAAGATGGAAGTATCGAGACTCACCAGTATTCCGTTACCAGCCATCGCCGAAGTCTTAACGGTGGTGATGAGTCTGCTGAAGGCCATAAGGAAAAGTTACATGCACGTGGTGGAATTCCAGGTGTTTTCTTCTCCTATGTAAGTTTTCCTCTATTTCCGCTTTTCCACAAATCACTAATAAAATCAGGATATCTCACCAATGAAGGTTATCAACAAGGAAGAACGAACCAAAACACTAGCAGGCTTTTTGACAGGTCTTTGTGCAATTGTAGGAGGTACATTGACTGTAGCGGCAGCAGTAGATCGTGGTGTATATGAAGGAGCAACTAGATTGAGAAAAATGCAATCGAAAAATCTGTAAGAATGGTATGGGGATATGATATGGTGAAAGTTCATTGAGTCTTTTGGGAGCCTCGGCATAGGAATTGGAGTTTAGAGGAAGGTCTTTGTATATTGAATATAGGAATCGTTTCTTTTTTTTCATCAGGGGTAGTGGTAGCGGGTAGCGAATTTAAAATCTCTTTGAAATCTCATATCAGTCAGTAACAGGCGGCCGATCCATAGAGAGCAGACTATTATGATTTATCGGATCTTTCAGACACTTTTTGATTGATGTAATGTATGTATGGGAGGGAGTATATATATGGCTGGCGGCTGGCGGCTGGCTTGCTTTTGAAATATAGATGGAATGGAAGAACGTGGATTATGTTATGTTGTATTATGTGTTGTGTTGTGATGTGATGTGATGGTCTGGTATGTGATGAAGTAGGAAAAGGAGAGGAGAGAGGAGAGAGGAGAGAGGAGAGAGGAGAGAGGAGAGAGGAGAGAGGAGAGAGGAGAGTGGAGAGTGGAGAGTGGAGAGTGGAGAGAGGGGAAGAAGGAGGGGAGAGGGGGGAGGAAAGGGGAGGAGAAGGGAGAGGAGATCTTAGATACCTATAGCTACGTAGTACAAGTGAAGGTAGAGAGAGGCCTATTTAGGGCTTATAGGCCCTGAAGGTGCCGGAGCCAAGCTCGTTCACACTAAATTTAAAAACTTTTGATTAATAATTATAACTATTAGAAAGTTTATAATTAAATAAATATAATTAGAGTATATACTTTAATTATACTAGTATTTTTATGTTTCAGATATTATATTATTTATATTGGAAAGTATATATCTACTAGTGTGACCAAAAGGGTATAAACAGGACT